TTTTTATTTAATTATTTCATATTATTTTTTTTATTTTTTTTATTTATTTAATTATTTTTAATCAATTTTAATTTTTTTTCAACCAACTTTATTGCTATCACACAGGAGAAAACAATCCCCTGTGTGATAGCCATTAAAGGTGACAGGTTCTCTTTATTGACCCTGTCACCTTCAATACAGGAGTTCTGGGACAGCAATGTGCTGGGACCCCTGTGACAGGTGAGAGAGGAAGAGCGCAGCACAGCTCTCCCCTCTCACTGTGTACACGGGGCGGCAGGGTTACCTTTATCCCGGCCGCTCTGCTCCCTGCAGTTAGAGACTCGGCGATGGAGGACGGAACCACAGGAGAGAGGTAGGTGCAGGGGGGGAGGGGAGGAGGCTGCACACTGTTTACATGTGATCTCGGTGACATTGCCGAGTTCACATGTAAACGAACAATCGGCTGCCTGCGTGTGCAAAGCAGGACTGAATGTAGAGAGGGCAACTTCCCCACAAGGACACCGCTGCCGCCCCTCTGCGCCCTGCCGCCCCGAGGCCGGGCCCTGTGGGGAATCCGGGCCTGAGTGCCGGGGTGGACCCACTGTAAGGGTTAAGATCATTTCTGTCCATAGTTCTTCTTTAAGGATCTCTTCATTTTGTGACAATATTGCTCCGCTCGTCCCTAATGCTCAGACTGACCCGGTGTCCCCTCCTGACCCGCTTATGAATGAAGATGGGCCTATAAGAGGTTACAATGTATCAATGCCGCTCACCTATAGTAACACATTGTGTTTTCATTATTTCAGGTGACGCCGCCGATATGTCTGGTGAGTGGGAGTCTATAATGCCTCCATGTAGATCTCCACGTGAGAGTGATAAACATTGTTATTAGAGATTGTTCATGTATGAAACACGTTTTTTTTTTCTCTGCTGTTAGCAATTATATACACTATATTGCCAAAAGTATTGGGCCCCTCCCCCTCCAAATCATCGGATTCAGGTGTTCCGTGACATTTCCCGGCTACTAAATATTCCGCCGCGGTCGCCTGTTACTGGGATTATAACAAAGTGGCAGCAACTGGGAACACCAGCAACTCAGCCAGGAAGTGGTCGGCCACGTCACATGACAGAGCGGGGTCAGCGCATGCTGAAGCGCACAGTGCGCAGAAGTCGCCAACTGTCTGCAGAATCGATAGCTACAGACCTCCAAACTCCATGCGGCCGTCAGATTGGCGCAAAACAACAGTGCGTAGGGAGCTTCATGGAACGGGTTTCCATGGCCGGGCAGCTGCATCCAAGCCTTACATCACCAAGTGCAATGCAAAGCGTGGGATGCCGCGGTGTAAAGCGCGCCGCCACTGGACTCTAGAGAAGAGGAGGCGTGTTCTCTGGAGTGACCAATCACGCTTCTCTGTCTGGCAATCCGATGGGCGTGTCTGGGTTTGGCGGTAGCCAGGAGAACGGTACTTGCCTGACTGCATTGTGCCAAGTATAAAGTTTGGTGGAGGGGGGATTATGGGGGGGGGTTGTTTTTCGGGGGTTGGGCTTGGCCCCTTAGTTCCAGTGAAGGGAACTCTTAAGGCATCAGCATACCAAGACATTTTGGACAATTTCATGCTCCCAACTTTGTGGGAGGAGTTTGGGGACGGCCCCTTCCTGTTCCAACATGACTGCGCACCAGTGCACAAAGCAAGGTCCATAAAGACATGGATGGGGGAGTTTGGGGGGGAGGAAAGTGACTGGCCGCACAGAGTCCTGACCTCAACCCCATAGAACACCTTTGGGATGAATTAGAGCGGAGACTGCGAGCCCCTACCCCAACATCAGTACCTGACCTCACAAATGGTCCAACATTCCCATAGACACACTCCTAAACCTTGTGGACGCCTTCCCAGAAGAGGCGGAGCTGTTATAGCGGCAAAGGGCGGAGCCAACCCAATGCTGAACCCTACGGACTAAGACTGGGATGCCATTAAAGTTCATGTGCGTGTAAAGGCGTCCCAATACTTTTGGCAATATAGTGTATGTGTGTATATGGGAAGCCATATTTGTTCATGACATACTCAGTCTCTGCTTCCTGTTTCATGGCGCTGTACGATGGTCAGACTTTACTCATCCCGGTCTGTGTTGAATGGTAAATGTTTTTAATACAATGAAGAATAAAACAATAATTGTATTTGATATACGAGTGGTTGGAATGTAGCACCTGATGAGTCCTCTGAATGAATTAGAATACCCCGGGATGTGTTGCTATGGGTGCAGGTCGATCTTCACGCTCTATACAACTCCTCTCATGCGGTTACATTGTGACTGCTGTGTATAAAAAATGTTTTAAATGGGTTTCGTTCTCACGCAGCGTCAGCCCCCTCTATACACGTGTGGGACGCCATGAACAAGCAGACACTGTCCGTCCTGCGCTGCTACCATTCCAAGGGGGTGTGCTCGGTCAGTTTCAGCGCCACGGGGAAGTTGCTGCTGTCCGTTGGGCTGGACCCGGAACACACCATCACCATCTGGAAATGGCAGGAAGGTAACCGACCGATGAGGAGAGGAACATGGCGACTCTGAGACGCATTTCATAGAGGCGCATTGACGCTCAAGTCTTACATTTAGACGCCATTTCCCCCGCATAAAAGTCGAATCGCGTATTATACACATATAGAGTGCTTGCCAGTGAAGCTGTGACGGAAGAAATAAGATGTCCAGAAAAGTCTTATTAATATTCTAGATATGTGATAATGTTTTAGGAACGTTGCTTCTATATGCAGCTTGTAATTCTATATGTCATATTTGCTCATTACATACTCGGACGCTGCTTCCTGCTTTCGCAGCCATACACAGGGGTTGTGCTTTACTGCTGCTTCTTATAATGCAAATCCTAAGGATTGATCTTTAAATCTTCCAGGCAGCCTATAGCTAGGTGATTGCTGTTCAGAACAGGCCTCCATTAGCGTACTCAGGTGCACACAAAAAGTAGAAGGACCCCCACCCACATACACAAACAAAGGCCTGAGATGCATAAAAGCCCAACAAACTGCACTCATACGAGGGGAGGCCAATATGTTCTTACCCTCACCATGATCTAGATGTGCCAGGGATCTGAAATGTTGCAGGTTTATAGGTGGATATCTTAGTAATATGCCAATGTTTGTTTTTGTAGGTCGTGGTGAATTATAGTTAGAGCCGAGAGGAACGGAGTAGGTGTCATGCCGGACAAAGTTGAATACCGAGCCGTGTGTTGCTACTCGCTGACAATGCACCTGCACATCGAGCTGCAGAAACTGTCACTTTTGTTCGTGATTGTGGCTATGACTCTCTGCCCCATCCACCTGACTCACCTGACCCGACCCGGCACCTTACTCACCTGACCCGACCCGGCACCTTACTCACCTGACCCGACCCGGCACCTTACTCACCTGACCTGACCCAGCACCTTACTCACCTGACCCGGCACCTTACTCACCTGACCCAGCACCTTACTCACCTGACCCGGCACCTTACTCACCTGACTCACCTGACCTGACCCGGCACCTGACTCACCTGACCTGACCCGGCACCTGACTCACCTGACCTGACCC